ATACTTTTTTAATTAACTTATTTTCTGACTACAAAAAGTGAGTTCAATAAGCTACTAATAGCTTTGTTTGTGTTTAATGATTAACATTGTTTTTATTATTATTATTAAGATATAATGAAATTCCTGAAAAATGGGAACCTCCTACTGTACAGCCATTCCCAGAAAGGCCTAATCTACAATATTTCTTAAGTGAACCCGATGCATTTGATCAATATTATGTTTATAATATAAACAATCATATTGAAGTTTGGCTGAATAGCAATCCCCAGCCAACAAAATTAGTCGAACGTGAAGTAAGTACAATTGTTTGATTATTTTTACTTAATGAATAGCATTGATTTTTTTTACTTTAAGAAATGGACTGAATCTTTAATTATGTGGTCACCTCTTGGAACATACTTGGCAACCCTACACAAGCAAGGAGTTGTCCTTTGGGGAGGACCAAATTTCACAAATGTTTTGAAGCTCTCTCATCGTAACGTTCAATTTGTAGATTTTTCTCCTTGTGAACAGTAAGTCTAAATAATTTGTATGTTTATTATATTTTCTATTAGTTTCATTCTTTTTTCTTCAATTTAGATATCTGGTAGCTTATGCTCCATTAGATAATGGTGAACAAAAGTTGACCATTTTTGATATTCGTACCGGTGCCGAAAAGCGATCATTTATTTCAGATGCTCCAATGGCCGGTAATATATTAAGGTGGTCTAAGGATGATAAATATTTTGCACGGATTGGCCATAATACTCTTAGTGTTTATGAAACTCCAGTTAGTATTTAAAAGGCAGTAAAAATATTTATTTAACTCATTGATTAATTTATATTTGTTTTTAGTCTTTTGGTTTGTTGGATAAGAAAAGTATAACGGTTAACGGTATTCGAGATTTTAGTTGGTCTCCTAGGGACAACGTACTCGCTTATTGGGTTGCTGAAGATAAAGATGTACCAGCTCGAGTAGTTCTATTAGAAATACCAAGGTTAGAAAAAAATTACTACGTATTCTAACGATATTTAGACGATAATGACAAAAATATTCCAATTTTATCATGATTATATACTAATTTAAAAAAAAAAATTTTAGCCGCAAAGAAATCAGAGCAAATAATTTGTTTAATGTAGCGGACTGTAAAATCCATTGGCAAAAAGCTGGAGACTACTTATGTGTTAAAGTCGATCGCTATGCTAAAATCAAACGTGAGAAGGGAGATGTTAAATACAGTGTAAGCAATTTATCTTGTCTTTTGTTTTTCATTGCTGCTTTTGATTTATGATGTTTTGAATTTCATAAGTTTTATTTATTTATATAGGGTATGTATTTCAATTTTGAAATATTCCATATGAGAGAGAAAAATATACCTGTAGACAGTGTTGAAATTAAAGAACCGATTCATGCATTTGCTTGGGAACCAATCGGTTCTAAGTTTGCAATCATTCATGGCGAACCCAGCAATAATAGTGTGAGCTTCTATAATGTGAAATCTGGTCAAGCTCCAGTTTTATTAAGTACGTTAAACTAATTGCAATATTATTTTAAGTTTCAAACATTTTATGTTTAGTTTATAGTTTTATAAAACAAAGTTTGATCACACATGTGAATGGAATAATCCTATGCATTTTATAATATGTGTATAGCCTAATTTAATCAATATTAATTTTCTATTTAAAAATGTGATTAAAATTTGAAAGGACACATAAAAAATATACAAACAAAAAACATGAAAATTTTACGTTCACAATAATATGTTTTACTCCGTAATTTCTAAAATTTAAAGGTCAAGAATATGTCTTAGGATTTTATTGTTATTAAGTAAGTTATGATAAATTTAAACTATTATAATTTACTTAAATATAATATCAATTAAATCCTCCTAAATATTCTAGATAAATATTCTTACCTTTAAATAGACATAAATTCAATCTAATTTTAAAAATTACAGAGTAAAATGTATTATTGTGATTGTAAAATTTTCCATATTGTTTGTTTTGTAAGACGGAAACAACAAATGCTCGTATGGCGTCCTCTTAAATCTGAATAAAATTAATTTAGGTAAACTGTTGATAGATATTTTACATTTTTTGTATATTTTTCTTGTAGAGAAGTTAGACAAACATTTCTGCAGTCATCTGTTCTGGTCACCTGCTGGACAATATATCGTTATTGCTGAAATCCGGGATTCTGGTGCTTTGGAATTCGTTGACACCGCAGATTTCACCACAATGTGTTCAACAGAACATTATAAAGCAACCGATATTGAATGGGATCCAACTGGAAGATTTGTTGCCACCGGCGTTAGCGCATGGAAAACTAAGGTATAAATATAATTTAAAAAAATTACCATGACCAAATAAATTCTGAATAGTAACTGTTTTCAAAATTAATTCCTTATAAAACAGTACAATTTTACAAAATGGATCTGCAATTTATTCATATTAAATTACTTAACTCTAGGATTTGAGTGCAATATCTAATGCTGGTTCAAATTAATTAAATGTTGAATGTCATTTTCAATTCAATAATTTCCAAAATTCACGGTTTTTACAATTGTCCTTAACAAATAATGATAAAATAAATAACTGTTGAAAGTGTTTCTGTTAAATACTTTTTKTATTTGCGATCTAATGTTGTCTTATCAATATTCTTTAGGGAGATACAGGCTATTGGATATGGTCATTCCAAGGAAGAATATTGAATAGATTCAATACAAACACCTATTGTCATATGCAATGGAGACCTAGACCTCCTACTCTATTGAGCGCTAAACAGCAAAAGGATACCAAGAAGAGTTTGAAAAAATACACTTCTCAGTTTGAGACCAAAGACAAAATGCGAATGACCAAAGCCTCTAAAGTATGATTGACAAAGAAAGATATCATAAAACAAATGTATTTGATTCTAATTTTGATTTTTTATGCTTAAATAGGAAGTCATCGATAAACGTCGAAAATTGATGAAAGAATTTGAAGAATACCGCAGCAAACGTTTAGAGGATTGGAATAAACAAAAGGCTGAAAGAATGGCTATTAGAAGTCGTAAGTGAAATCGTTAATTTATTTTATCCCGTACGAAACATTGTCTATGGTATTTTTGTTATTCCATATTGGTAATTGTTCTAAATGATGTGTGCTCTCATGTGTCAATCACTTATCATATCGATGTTGTTAATCATTGTAATGTGTTTGTATTCATTTCAACTATTTTGTTTCAGATATTGATACTGATGAACTAGATTCAGACGATAAAAACGTGCAAGTAGAAAAGGTTGAATTTTTGGTTAAAGAAGAAGTAACTGTAGTTGATTAGGCATTTTGAACAATTTTTGATGTAAACAAAATATTCGAATTGTCTTTATTTTGTATTTGCAAAAGAACACACAATAAATACAATTTTTTCTCAAAACAATTACGCCATTTAATATGGCAATCATAGTCCTTCATATTCTTAAAAATATTTTCAATACTAAATTATGTAAATTAGGATTCAATTTAAATTTCAAATACAGAAGAAAAGTAAAGATCTATCCAATAGGGTTTGTTCTAATAATTATATTGTCTGTAATCACAAATACAATTTTACATGTTAATCGTTTTATTTATTTCATAAGTACATGTCAAACATTTTTTATTATAATACTACTTGCGTGTATTATATAATTATAATTATTAATATAATATATATTATTTATTTATAAATAAATATCACAATTGCCAACTCTAGGTATAATTATTACACAGTGATCACATGTTTGTTAATTATTAATTAATGACAATGACAACAAAATAATTATACCGCGCGTGAGATTAATGGAAAACAAAAATAACTGAACATGAGTACATAATATTATTGTTGTACCTACGGTATAAAATTAGCGACTAAATTTTATTAAAAACGGTATACTGTCTGTGACATAGATTATCGTAACAAATTGACTTATTATTTATGCGTGATTGTTTGGCTAGTAGAAAAAAAAAAAAAACAATATACATTCACTTTAGACGTAACAACAAAAGAGCTATAAAATTATATTAGTTTGATATGGAAAATTATAAATTGTTTGCTAGCAAAAAAAAAAAAAAACGAAAGCGACACTTGTAAAGAAATGTCGTTAGCTTAGAAAAATACTAATGCTACGTTAGTCAGTTATAAATTTATAGCACAATATAGAATATACCCTCATAAGCGACCTAACGACTATTATTGATTTATATGATTTATTCAGTTTGTTAGTTTGCGTTATAAATAATATTAATATCGTCTATAATAACGAAATGGAAAACATTTCATAGAAACATGTACAATGCTGAGAGATTTCAACGTTATTATTAATGACTGTCGATTAATCTTCGTTCATGAATTCTCGATTAACGATTCACATGATCAAAGACACAATGATAAAGGAAGACTAGTCATTAATGGCATAATTAATTACTAATTAGTATATTCCATTTATTATTATTTTTTTTTTTTTAGTAAAATGAGAACATGGAAATGGGTAATAAATTCAAAATCGTATATTAATAAAGATTAGAATCATCGAGAGAAGAAATCGCTTGAGATCATTTTCTACAGAAATATTGGTTGGTAAATTCTATAAGTTCAGTACACATGGAAACAATGATATGGCTACGCTAACAGTGTTTAGAGATAAAATGTGGTACACACGAAAGCGTATTATTGGAATATAAAATTGATTAAAAATGTTTAAAAAATGTCTACGGAGAGGAAGAATCTAATTTCTGCATGTCTAACAACACACACAATTTTCTAAAGATTGCTGCGATGTTCAACTAATGGATAATTAGTTATTCTATCTGACGTCTAGTACGTATTTAAAAATTTAATTAAAAACATTATGGACCTCGTCAAGTAATCGACTAAACCAGTCTTAACTTTGACATTCTTTTTTTTACACATCAATCACTTCAAAAACTTTTAATGAAATAATTTTAATAACACTTTGCTGTACATGAAACTTTGATAGTATTACACGCAAAATGATTTGTCCTTAAAAAAAAAAATGTTAGATAGTCATTAACTCTCATCTTGAACATCAGAAATTATTAATATCATTAATTGTTCTATTTTATATCGATATAAACAAATAAATATTAAGTGAGTTTAAAAATTAAGTACATTCTAGAGCAATATTATGAGTAATAGTTAGTCTTATATTAGAATTTTTCAGATTATTAATCACAGAATAAAATCATGATAAATTGGTCTACAAAAATAAATCCCATAAATGGAAAATCAGCAGCAAAATTTGAATGTATAAGACGTCAAATCCATTTGTAAGGTTGTCTTAAAAATAAATTGTATACAATAATCACATAGGTTAGTATAGACTTAATTTAGTAATCATCTATGGACTATGACTTTCAATCGTAAGAACAAACTTTTCCAAAAACATCGGAAATATGTAATGCTCGTCTTATTTAAACAATAATACTTACAAAGCTGAGATACTTGAGTAATGTGTCGATAAAATAGGAAATTGTATTCGTTTATCTACAAAAACGACATGACAATTCAACTATTAAATGGTTTAAGTTTCTAAATCCAAACAATATAATATTATGTAAACAGTCGTATTGCCATCAAATACACTTTTGAAATCAGACCTTATGAGTAATGAAAATTTTTCTCTTAAACGATGAAACAAAAATAAGTCTGAATAAAATTTTGATAATTTTCTATGTAGGTAACCGCTACGCGTGTCTCCGATGCATTTGCATAACAAGTCTGTTGTTTCATACAGCCATTGTTGGGAAAACAAAAACTGTTGAGCATACAGAGTATAATATTATTATTATTATTATTTACAAATGAGACTGGAGATTAATTTTTGGCAGGTAAAATCTATTTATATCTAATTTTCAAATAGAGGATTGTAACTTTTACCGGCTACATTTTGCATTGTAATTTTCGAGAAAAAAGTCCAGAGTGGCAGATTAAGTTTTCTGGAATAAAGTTCTCGTCGATAATGTAATTATTTCTATCGAACGACGGTCGCCGCTATCAATATACGTTCACAAGATTATTTAACAGAATAATTATTAAGGACAATAATGTTGTCACTTTTGGTCGTCTCCTTGGACATGCTGACCACGGCTTCTTCGTACGACGGCGGTGGTAGGTCACTCCCCTCTTCGCTGTGGCTGCCGATCAACTGTTCGTAGGACGGGGGCAAAGTGAGTTCGCTAACCGTGCGTATCGGCAACGAATACTGTTGTTGAGAGTCTGCCAACTGTCCCTGTTGAGATCGTATGTCCTGGGGACCGAATGACGAAATTTAAAAATCAAAACGATTACCGACAGCCTGCTGCGGCGGCAGTGTCGTACTCACCTCTATCTGTTGGCGGATGACCATGTCGATGACGCGGCGCCTCCGCAAGTACAGCACGTTCCTGATGCCGATCATGACGGCCGAACAGATGCACAGCGGTCCGACCATCCACATGTGGCCCAGGTTGGCGAACACGGTGTCGTCGTACGCGCCGAACGAGAACACCGATATGATGGTGCCCAACGTGAACAGGAACACGGATATCAAGAAATACGAATACGTGACACAGTCGCAGGAGCTGCACGACCGACTCATGTCCTCGGTTAAATGGACCCGCTCCCACATGTAGTAGGCTTCCATTTCAAACGCATTTCCGCACTTCCGGCGCGCGCAAATACAACGGACGCCCAACACACGCAGACCCGTTTACCGCGGATATATCACTCTGCAGCGACAGATCGTCATGTCGATTAACGTTTGGTACGGTTTGCCGTCTACAGTCGTTTCATTCGTGTGTTGTCGCGTATTACTGTATCATATTATTATTATTGTTATTGTTGACTGTTGTCTTTTTCGCCCTCGGCCCAGTGATTTAACAATAAGTGATTACACACCTTCGTCAGTTATCAATTTCAATTGTTGTTGTCTGTTATCAACACAATATTATGTGACGACGACCGCGAATATGTATCCAATCCATATCGTCCCTTCGGGTCGAAGATTATTCACTTCCAAAAATATAGTATATAGTATTTTTATATATCTGTGCTTCCATCACAATCTCGTCTCGCATACCGTGGTCCGACACGTCCGAATGGTTAAAGACATTGTCGCTAGGGGACGCTGCACGTCGCTGTCATGGTTTTATAATTTTTTCTGTATTTCTGTGGTTATTACTTATTAGTTATTTGTGTTATTACTTGTCTTATTAGTCATGATAAATTAATTTATCATGTTATTAGTTATTATTCACTGGTCAACGCGTTAGTTTGCTACTCGAGCGCTTTGGGACGTTTCTCGTCAGTCGATAATTTTACATTTTATTAAACATAAAATCGTAAAGTCAAATACGTGGGGTACTCGGATGATAGGAAAGTTTAGAAAAATACTTCAAAAACCTCTCGTTTACACTTCACGGTTTACCATGTTGGTCTGTAGCGCACGTTAAAAGATTTTCATCAAGTTGCGATACTCAATCGTGTTTGATGGTGGTGTGCTTGTAAAACTACTCAACAGTTTCCTCCCAGTTTCGAGGATTTCTGGTATAAGTGTTTTTTAATTGTAGATTGAAAGCATTTCAGACACTTCCTCATGGATGAAAAGGAATCCGATGAAGCTCTTAAAACATCTTCGTCGTCGTCTCTGGCCGACACCAAAGTTCAGAGTGTCATACCAAAAAACAGGTACACATGATTAGAGTAGACACAATTATTATAAATGGTAGACCTAACAGTTTTATGTAAAATAAATTGTACCTACGTTTGTGCATACATTCCACGAGTTGTGTTTAAAATGTTTTTCTTCAGGTCTGAGGTCTTGAAGTGGAATGGCTGGGGATATAGAGATTCAAAGTTTAAAGTCACCGACAAGGGAATGATTCGTTTCACTGGCAATAGGTAAACAATAGGTTTGATAACAATTCGTTTTGAGTTGTACAAAATAATTGAGACACAAAAATGTTGTTAACTAAATATACATTTTTTCTGATCAGGTATTCCATTGGAGAAACAGATTTGCCTTTTTTTACGCAATGGGTCCAACAAGTATTAAATATTGACTTAACTCTGAGGAATGTGCCTAGAGAGAAGTTCAGTTCTACAGAGATTCCACCTTCTCGTGTACCTACCGGTTTGTATCATCAGTTTTTTTTCTTTTTAGGAAATGATTTTTGCTTATAGTTTTATAATTATTAAAATTATTTTATTTTTAATTTTCAGACTTTTTAAATATCTTGAAAGAAATGAAAATTGACCATACAACGAACGGACCAGCTAGACTTTTGCGATCTCACGGACAAACGCTTTATGATATTTATTCCCTGAGATATGGTAAATGTTTTCCACGCATTTGTGATTTAGTAGTCTGGCCTGGTATGTATTATTTAGTTTAATGATAATTGTAAAGTTGCTACAAGGATATTTTTCATTTTAGCAAATCACAATGACGTGATTAGCATAGTCGAACTAGTCAATACGCATAACATTGTACTTGTTCCGTTTGGTGGTGGAACTAATGTATCTGGAGCTGTATCATGTCCTGCCAACGAAAATAGATGTATAGTCAGTGTAGACACTTCACAAATGGTAATTTTTTTAAATATTTTACATTTGCATATTGCAATATCAAAAAAATTGTAATGGACTGATAAATTTTTAATTTTTTTATAGAACCGTTTATTGTGGTTGGATGAATCAAACTTACTGGTGTGCTTTGAAGCCGGAGTCATTGGTCAAGATTTAGAACGAGAACTGAACAAAAGAGGCTATACATGTGGACATGAACCAGATTCTTATGAATTTTCTAGGTATTCATTGAAATAAAAAAAAAACGAGTGTAGCCTTTGTAGCAATCATTAAAGTAGTAAGTTTCCTTTTATTGTATTTACTATTATTAAGTATTACAATCGTTTTTGTTTAATTTAGTATATTAGCCATATTTTGTGTGCGTTTTAATTTTTTGTATACATTTTTATTTTGTTTTTAGTATTGAATTTATCTATTGAATAGAGCTGTATTTTTAGTTTTATTATTTTACTGSAAGAAACTTTTGATCTGTAATGTGTGTTAAACAAATCAGTTTAGGCGGTTGGGTCGCTACTAGAGCGTCTGGCATGAAGAAGAATGTGTATGGCAACATTGAAGATTTAGTAATTGATGCTAAAATGGTCACTTGCAAAGGGGTGGTAGAAAAAAACAGTAAGGTCCCAAGAATGTCGAGTGGACCTGATTTTCAACAAATTGTCCTAGGTTCAGAAGGTTTGTTTGTTGATAGTTTATAATCAACAATCTTTAAGGTTCTTTACTGTTTTTATATTTCAGGTACATTAGGCATAATTACAGAAGTGACCTTAAAAATTCGACCACTTCCAGAGTGTCGGGTTTATGATTCTGTGGTTTTTCCTGATTTTGAATCTGGAGTAAAATGTATGAGAGAAGTAGCCAAACAAGTATGTTATAAATATAGCCTTTATTACTCACTATTAAACTTTTTGATTTGATAATCGCATTTTAACTTGTAGAGATGTCAACCTGTATCTATACGATTGATGGATAACACACAGTTCAAATTTGGTCAGGCATTAAGGCCTGTTGGAAACACATTTGGAAACTTGAAAGACTCTTTCAAGAAAACCTATTTGACTCACGTTTGTGGTTTTCATTTAGAATCTATATGTGTTATGACACTTCTCTTTGAAGGTGATTTTTTTTACCTACCATTTAAAAGCATTGTGTCAATGCAATGTTACAAAACACAAGATAGCAAAAAGTTTACCGTTTTCATAACTTGTTTGTAAATAATTATCGACCGATAATACTTAAAATGCATACACTTTCCAATTTCCATTGATTTATTTACTGTCAATATTGAAATTTAAAATTGTTCATAAAACAGAGTTAATAAATATTGTATGTGTTGATGAAACAACCAGTAATTTTATAATGCAACTTTCATTGTTTTACTTAAAACTAAAATAACTAAAMATTTTAACGATGATTGTGTTGACATTTTACTTTTTCCTAAAATCAAAAATAATTTTCCACCACTAACCAGCAATATCTGTCAACAAATGTGCATTTTATATGTGAATGTGGTATGGTAGTTAATTATTATGACTATATTGTGTTCAATAATAAATTGATATGGCGACATTGCATGGCAGTTGATTAGTAAAAAAATATTTGCAATTAAATTTTTCAAAAAGGTGCTATTTTGTTCTATACATATGCAAATAAATCACTACTAATAGTAATTTTTTTCTAGGTAAACACTCCAAAGTAGTTTCTCATAGAAGATGCATTGCAAAAATAGCCATTTCGTTTGGTGGCATAACGGCAGGAGAGAGAAACGGAGAACGCGGTTATATGCTGACCTTTGTTATAGCTTACATACGTGTAAGGAACGTTGCTTTGTACTTTTGATAATTGTTAAAACGATGAATTCTAATAAAGATAATGTTTAGGATCTCGCATTAGAATACAGAGTTGTAGCTGAATCGTTTGAAACATCAGTATCTTGGGATAAAACTCTCAATTTATGTGACAATGTCAAAAAAACTGTAGCAAATGAATGCAATAGTAAGTGGAGACAGAGTAATTTTAATTTTATCAATAATGACCTTTGGAGAAAAAAAAATGTTGTTTTGTTTTATAGAACTCAACATCAAGTATTATTTGATTAGCTGTCGTGTAACGCAGACATACGACTCGGGTTGTTGTGTTTATTTCTATTTTGGATTTAATTGGACCGGTCTAGACGATCCAGTATCGACTTACCATCATATTGAAACCATAGCCCGAGACACTATTATGGCTTCTGGAGGGTCTATATCACATCATCACGGTGTGGGTAAACTACGGGCACACTGGTATGAGAAACACATGTCTAAAACAGTGCTTTCGCTTTACAATGCGTCTAAAAAGATGCTAGACCCGAATAATGTGTTTGCTAATGGTAATCTTATTAGTTTTCCTTTGTCCAAGTTATGAACAGCAATTTAAAATCTAGTCACGTTTTAGTGTAAGTCTTCGACAAATACAATTTTTTTTATATCAATATGGTTGTTATTTATTATTATGATATGATGTTGAACCTTTTTAGTTTTTAAAGTTGTTTCCTGAAAAATAACTGGGTAATATTAGTTACGTAAAAAAAATTACTGATAATTTCAGTGTAGGTCTATTTTATTTATTTTTATAATAAACATATGATCTTAGACACACTCTGTTTTGTGACTCAAATTTTTCGAATTATTTTATAGTATGAGCTGCGACATTTCAATAGCTAGAAAGACTCGGAAAATACTTTTTTCGTGGCTAAGAATTTCTAAAAAATCACACTACTTTTTTAGAAAAATTTCAAGTTCAAATTCAGATATTTTAGGGCACATAACCAAAATAAAAATTATTATTTTAAAAGCAAATGTCATTAAAAGTTCTTTCTTCTTTTTCTTTTCTGAGCTTCACTTAACTATTTTTTACAGCCACTCATATCTGATTTTTATTTCGAATTTCAACAGTGTAAAATTGACAGTATTCGTAGTAGGTGTTCTGGATTCCTATAAATCCCATTTTTTCACAATTATCGATAAAGTTGGCCTATATGTATTATATCCAAATATATATTTAAATAAAATAATTTTTAAACAAAGGATTTTGGTATTACAAATGAAATACCAAAATATATAGTCACATGTATATGTATGTATATATATATATATAATATTATTATATTTGATATAGAAATCACAAATTATTTGTATGTACAATTGAACAGTTTCATTTATAAGTTCATGATAATATTCTTTACATAAAAAAGACATTATATTACACAACAATTATAATTATATTCTATTGTTCTACGTTTTGGGCATTTTTCACCTTTATCAACATTTCATTAAGTTGTAGCATTGACGCATGAGGAAACTATATTAAAAAAAATATACATATATATATTAATCAATGTCATTATAGTTAAGAAGTGCTCGGGATCACAAAATTTGAGAGAAAGATCGGTGAATAACGCATCTTTGATATACACAAATCAACTGAAAAATAATGTGCTATAGTTCATACTTCATTCAAAAACCTCTTGAAAAATAAAAATCTCATCAAATAGACAGTACATTCAAAATTTGATTTTTTTTAACCCAAATATTCCAACCAGACGCCTCAAAAGTAAGTGGTGCCACGTATTGGAAACTTCATAATATGAACAAATGTCACAAACATGTGATTTCCTCCTCGTGTGTTTATATATCGTCAACTATCTTTGAGTTATTATTATCACCTATTGCACATACTATGTAGAATGTTTTTTTTTTCAAATAAAGTCAAAAATTATATTAAAAAATAAAAATATAATCGCTTTTACGTTTTACCTATTTGATATTAATTATTGTTTATCGACACATACGCATTCACGAGTCACCTTAGATTATTATTATTATTTTTTTTTTCAATACAAATCTTGGTTTAATAAAAATGCCTAATAGAATCTGTAAGTGTTATAACTTCAAATAATCGATCGCATACCTACATACTCTCAAAAAATAATCCTAAGCACTTGTAAGTATATTTTATTAGAAATAAACAAAATATAAAGAATTCAATTTAAATTATTTATTAGCATTACTCACGAATTCTCTTAAAGTATTGAACAATGTTAGATCATCATTTGACCTGTAGGCTGGCAAAGAACCTATATAATATTAAAATTATAAAATCAATTAATTTTAAAGGAATTTTAAGACAAATAAATTATGCTTCATATATTTCAAACCAAATCATTAGGAATAGACCAATCAATATAACTATGTCGACAATAATCAATTTTCTAAGAATGTAACTATTGTGTCCAATAACTCCAATATAGATGCACAGCTCGCTTAACCCATATGTGTTATTTTCGTCTTATTAGTGCGCAACATAGCAAATTTAACTCCGCGTTAGTTTAGATATTAAAGTGAACTGACATCTTATAAAATTTGAATGTAAGTACCATTATCTGTGTTCGTATTTTGAGTTTTTGTGATAATTCAGTTTTTAAGTATGTTAAGATCATTTTTAATTTATATTTATTACCTATATACAGAAAAGTTGCTAAAAAATTGAACTATCGTAACAATCCAACATACAAACACAGATAATGTCTTACTTTTAAATTTTATGATTCATTTAATTTTAAAACTAAAGAAGCTAAACATGATCTGCAGAGTGTAAATTTGCCATGTTGTAAACTTGTAAGACGGAATCAACACATATTTAAAAGATTTTATAATACCCCTTTCTGATAAAAATGAATTGTACAATTAATAGCATGAGCCACACCATCTAGGTAAACATCTTTAACATTTTACAGGAAAAATTAATACAAGTTGTTTCTCTTGGAAAATTTAAAGAAAATAGTTTATTTTAACTTCCTAATTATTTAAGTATTTTTGATAACATGAACTAAATATTGTTATATAACCTTTGAAAACCTAAGTATAATGCTTTATTATACCCAACATAAATGTAATTAATACTAATAATTTAAAATCTAAAAATATTCACTAATTACCCAAGTTCTGCATTAAAGTTGAATTTAGATTATTTGTTTTAATTCCATCTCTTTCTTTTTCATAATCTTCCCATGCTGCATTTCTGTCATTTTCGTCTAATTCTTCAGCCTCATTATTTTGTAATAAAGAGTCATGTTCTAGTATGTCTATTACGAGGTCTTTGTGTTTCAATATTAACTCGGCCATTAAACGATCCTAACAGAGTTAACATAAAATATTAAAAAACAAATAATGTAAAAATAATTTAATACAGATACCTTAGGTAAATTTAAAGTTGGTTTCAATGTAGTAGAATGTGGCTCAAATTCATAAAGTTCTTCTTGGCATTTTAAATTAAAATGACGATCAATTTGATGTTCATCAATTACACGGAAAGCTGTGGATAATTTTGATATTTGACGTTCATATATTTTTTGTTCCATTGTACCCTTATTAATACACAATACAAACTAATTAGATAATTTTTAAAACAAATTAATTATTTAACTAAAAAAATAATTTTTCACACAAAGTAAAGTCTTTTTTTAATAACTACCAATAAAAATTACTCAATATTATTGATCAAAGAAAAAATTGTATGCAAAGAATTTAACATAATTCAAATTTAAAAACTGGAAAAGATTTTCATTATTTCTAGAATTGAAATATTTAATTATTTTTAAAATAATGCTGTAATGGTCAAAATTTAAATTATTTCATCAAAAAGTTTCATAACAGTCAAAATGCTATGAACATTGGAAAAATATATTAAATTCAAGAGCATTAAAAAAAATGTGCTTTAACATAAAATTTTACTACTCCTAACTATGTACATAGGCATTATTACAATATTTACCTCAGAAATTAATCTATAAATGTAACATGGTTTGTGCTGTCCAAATCTATAAACACGAAATATACTTTGAACATTTAAAGATGGATTCCATGTCACGTCAAAAATAATAACTCTATTAGCACCAACTAAATTAATACCTAGGTTAAAAGCTTTGGTCGACAATAATAAAAGACGCATTCTGAAAATAAATTATTTTGTAGTTAGATAGTTATCATTATAATTTATAATACTAAATTGATTTTATAATTGAGTCAAAAATATTTACCTAGTATTTTTGACATCATTAAATCGTTCACAGAAATCTTCTCTCGTTTTTGAACTAACTGAACCATCGATTCTATAAAAATCTACACCGTGATCCCAAGATTTACCATATGGGCTCCCTTTATCATCTAAATCTTCAGCATTTTCCAAAAAATCTTGAATGAGATCAAGAGTAAATAATGACTGACTGAATATTAACCTATATCAAATTAAAAGATTTGATTAATGTCTCATACAAAAAATATATATATTATCAAATTATGCTATTACTGGACACTTGCCAAAGAAAAAAATGAGAATAACCCAATTGTCAGTATTTACAGTATTTAAAATGACTAAAATAGCCTGGGCTAAGCCTAGATTAATTTTTAGCTTAAAATTAAAGTTATACATACACTTTATCACCAATATCTTCACACTCTTGAAGTATTGAAAACATCATTATGAACTTTGAATACGGGTGCACAGATTCTAATTCAGCTCTTGACACTAATGGCTTCCACCAGGTAAGGTAACGAGAGTCTGGGTTCTTAGTGTTAGGCAAGTCAAAACCTGGAACTGGCACCCATCAATCAATTAATATAAGTCAATAATTAGTAAGTTAAAAAATTTAAATACGGTTTAAATTTTAAACAGATTAATATTTATTAATTAAAAACGAATGATTTTAATTTTATGAAAAACAGATCTTACAAGAATTTTTTATCTATTTTAAATTGAACTTTAATTTTTTTTTTAATTGTTACAATTGCTTAAACAATATAATTCAGTATTTAAAAAAAAATATTTGGTATGATACAAGAATAAGCAAAATACAAAGAAATTATTGTTGAGGGATAATCATTTACTTAGTTTCATTATTTAGACAAGCAGTTCAATGAGAAAAATTTGAAAATATTTTCAAATTTGATTTATAGTTTAAATCAAATATCATTGAATCCAATTTTTCACTAGTTTAGAAATTATTTTTATTTAGAACAACAATATTATTTAAAAAATGAAAATAAAACTTACTTTCAGGTTCATCAACAGAATTTGAATTATCATCATCACTACTCTCGCCATTTATAAAACGTGATTCTGCATCCTTTAATTTTTGTTTCTAAAAACACAATGTTTTGTTTAGATTTATGAAAATTAACAAAATAAAATTATATTTATACTTCTTGTTTTGTTTCTATTCGTTTCAAGTATAATGCTAATAGTCTAGGATGGGTCCAAACCATTTGAAGCATATGGTAATTACTAAATAAATCTTGTTGTCTGTATTCGTCCAAATATTTCTGGTATAATTCTATTTGTTTATCAGCCAACTTCAAATAAATTACATATTCATGCTTAGGAGGCAAGAAAGGAGTAAGAACACTATAGTCAAATCTCTAAAAAAAAAAATTAATGAAWWAATACCATTACTATATTTTAAAACATAATCAATCTTAATAGTTTTTTGAAATCCAAAAAATATGTTATGTTTTTAGTATGTTGATATTATAAATGTATACTTTCTAATTTATAGTAAAATGAATTAAGAATACTTGTACAAATCCTTCCAGCATTCTATGTAAAACATGAGATCTTCTCTTCATTAATTTAACATCCATTGCAGTTGAATCAGAGTATTGCCCATTAGTGATTGGATTTATAAAACGATTCGTAAAATCTTTAATTGATCCTAATAAATTTGGTCTGATAAAATCTACCATACAATGATCTGTAAAATGAGAATAAACTAAGTGTTTTTAAACAAATATTTAGATTATTACTCATTAATTATAAATGTAAAAAAAAACATATTTTTAACGAAATAAAAATATTATGGGGGACGGAGTGGCCAAGCGTTCAAAGGCGTCAGCTGTACCTTTCTTTGGGCATTAAGGGCGTCTGGAGCGACAGGCCACCATCCTCTACCCGGGCATGGCAGAAACCTACACAGGTGCCTACTAGAAATCCTGCCAAACACTCAAGTGTTCCAAAACCTACAGTCCCAAAAACCCAACAGTACCAGTAATAGCCTCAGTTGTCGAAGCTCAATTTGAAAATTATTATAATTCAAAATTACATTGATACATGGACAAACTATAATTTTATTTTAATATTAGAATGATTATAAGTGTAACTGAATTTATTGACACTTTTTTACTTAATAACCCAAACATGTCTATTTGTTGGCTAACACTATCACCATTAGGACAAGACAAGGAGCTCACAGCTCCATCAATGAAGGGAAACTCCTCTACTTCACAACACATATATTTCTATAGTTTGTTTTAAATATAATAAATAGAAATATATCAGAAGGAAAGCAAAAAAGTTAGTTTTCCCAACTGGAATCAAACCAAGTGTAAATTTAATACATACATTCTCTTAAATTGTTTTGTAATGGCGTTCCAGTTAACACAATTCTTCGAAGTGATTTAATACGATTGACTGCTTTTGACGTTGCAGTGCTGTGATTTTTTAACATATGTCCTTCATCGCATATGACCAAATCTGGTCCTGGATCAACAAGACCTTCAGTGATAGTAGGGAACTTGTCAATATTCTTGTTATTAACAACTGATCTAAACAACTGATAGCTTGTAACTAACACGCCATGATCTCTTTTCCATTCTTCTACAATATTTTTTCGACCTTCGTATGTTTTTGAACTAAAATTAAAACAATTGAAGTTAAAAAAAATAAACTAATCCATAATGTTTTAATATTCTTACTCAGAAAAATTAAGTACCAAAAAATTTTGTGTTTCGTCAATATCTTTTAACCATTTATGAAACTCCTTACACCAATTTTCAATTGTTGCATTAGGAGTAATAACTAAAACTGTTTTAATACCAGTTTCTGGATATCTAAATAACGTATGAACCAATGCGATAATCTGAAAAAAATCCAGGATTAAATATTCTATAGTAGCGATACTATAGAGTATAGATGGATAATAAAAGAAAGTATTATATTTATAAATTTGTTTGTATAAGGATATAGAAAAATGTGTTCATATAAATTACCAATATTTTCTTTTTCTTTTTTATATATATGTTAGAATAATTAAACTAATAATTTATTTAATTAGTAAAGCGGACGTTATGTCGTATAAATTGTCTCTTGTATTACAAAATATGTACAACATGACAAATTTTGTTTAGCAGAACTCATATTTTGTTTCAATTTAAACTGAATTATCGTAAAAATACTTGCAACAAAACACAGAAAAGGTTCTTAACAGCCAAGTTTATAATATATAAACATAAATCTATTCACTCAAGTTTTAAGCTAACTAAGTAAAACGTGAACTGCTGAGCAAAAATTTGCTATGTTACGGGTTTATAAGACGGAAACAACACATGCGGGTATGGCGTCCAAGAGGATATTAAGAATTAAGAAATTGCACGACATTATTGTTATAATTTTACATGCTATACAAAACGCTATATAAAATGAAACATAAATTCTCATTAATAATTTATGCATTTTATGATAATTAATAATAATAATTATGTTTTAAATATATTCAATATTGTTAATAATTTATAATGACTTCATACATTTTTATTGTTTTAAAGACATTATCCAAAAGTTCTTGGATGATATCATATAATCTGGTTGGCAGTTAGTATTAACATTAAAAAACATTTAATAATATCCATGGCGGTCAATTACCCTTAACATGCATACTCAAAAATACCATTTAATAACAAAATGTTAAGGCACAGGTAATAGGTATATTCACTTAAGTATTTCATTAATTAATTACAATTACATTTACTTTTTGCTTAAAGAAAATATTGTTGGGGAAATCAACTGATTAAAATAGGTACCAAAATTATTTAGATACCAAATAGTTAATAGCTTATGTATAACAATAAACATAAAAATGAATGTATTGCATACTTGTAGAGTTTTACCTAGGCCCATACAATGAGCTAGGATTGATCCATTTCCTTTATGTTCTTTTATTCTTGCCAATGATTCAAATACAGAATTCCACAAAAATGTTATTCCTTTTACCTAAATTTGTTTTATAAGAATTGTAAAATTAAATAAAAACATATTTATTTCTTAAAATGTGAAAGTCTAACCTGATGAGGTTTGAGAAACTTAACAATATCTGGATGAACAACAACAAGTTCTTCCAATGTCTTTTCATCAAAATCTAATACTAATTTTTTATATGATTCCATAGGTGTTGGAGGATTACACAATTTATTGTACTAAAATATTTAAATGAACAATTAAATTAGATTTGTAATAAAACATTAAGTTAATAACCTACAAACCTCTTTTTGACGTTTTTCAATACGCTTCTTACGTAATTCTTCTTCTTTTAAAGCACTTTGAGTCAATTCGCTCAGTTGTTCTTTTTTTTTCATTTTACGAATATTTTTTCGCCCTTTTTTTGCCAACTAAAACAAACAAGATAACTTTTAAAATTAACATAATTTTATAAAACATGTCTATTTGCAAATATTAAAAGTCAAAGTTCCAAAATTTTGAAAGCATTTTTTAGTATGTGGCTATGGGGTTTAAAATCTTCAAAATTTCAGATTTTGTAGTTTCAAATAAGTTCTGGGACTTACTTTCTGATAATTTTTTACAAATACCATACAATTATAAATTAAATAATAAAACAAAAAAAACACTCTGTTACAATAAATGCATTTGATTGCAATTACTTACTTTAAATATTAATAACCTGTATTCAGTTATTAAAAATAAGTGTGGGATAACAAGGGCCAGGAGATACTATGACCATTGATATATTATAAACATTAATGTTGCTAAGTTATTTAAAAATATTATACTTACATGATGATCTTGTGATGAATCACTCTTACCAGAATCACTTGCTTTTTCAGATTCTTCATCAGACATTTGTCTACTTCAAATTAAAACATGGATAAGTATTTATATAAAAAATGATGTTATTTAAAAACTAACATTCTTCTACGTTTTTTGACATGTATAGGAGGCGAATCCTCATCTGAACTGCTGATGCTATACCGACTGCTACTGCTACTACCGCTACTATTGCTCTTGTTACTAGTTAAGTCTAAAAAACTACTTTTATTAATATCATTTTTCACTTTTTTTTTTGGTGTTTTTTTAAAAAACTTTGATGAAGAATCTGAATCTTTTGACGACTGAGATGTTACCAGTTTCCTGTATTAAAAAAAATTGTATTTTCTTAATTGATAAACTATGCAAAGAAATTAATAGAAATAAGTAACGTTTAGTATTAAAACATTAATTTTGTGTATTTAAGAAGAAAAATATTATTTATATTTTATTATAACTTTATTAAAATAAATAATAAAATTATGAAAGTATAGTCATAAAAAATAAAAGGGGGTAGGTAATCACTCTGCTGTAAAATAAGTATTGAGTTATTATGAAATAATTCATAGTAATTAATGTGATAAATTTGAATTCAATGATAAATTATTGCGTTCCAGAAACAATTCTGAACGATTCTGAGCAAGATGATCTACAACCTATGTATATTTTCTAATAAAAGAATTTTCCCAATGTTTTGTCTTAAATTATAATTAATTACAAGCTAACTATTTATTTTCAATGAACTGTAATAAATTAAGAGCAATACCTTTTTTTTCCTTTTGTTTTAGTTTTTTCATTAAAATCAAAATCGCTATCATCATCACTCGTTGATGACAATTTTAATGGAGATAGTCGTTTTGAACGAGTAACAATCGTTGTATTATTGTGAACATCTGATATTTCTGACAAGTTCTTAAAACACAACACAATTTAGATAATTAATATTGATCACTTTTTAAGAAATTAACAAATAATATATTTCATTTAACTAAAAATAAGCTACTATAGATACATTTTAGGAATAATATTGTGTTGCAACTTAGATTAAAATTTAAAATTGATTTAATTTAAATTATATGATATTGTAAAATTTTATATTTATCATTTATTTGCATAAACATTACACTCACAATTACAAAGAAATATATTACATGCATAAAAAATCTTATTTGTAGTTATAATGATTTGAAATGAATTAACCTTAAACTTATTATATATATAAATATATATAAGCATATGATCTATTCACTTAATACAAATAAATTGTTGATAAATTATATGATCTAGTTGCTATACACTACACAAATAATGAATTATAGCAATCTTGTAGATTGCAGAGCTGTAAAGTATTTGAGTAAAAGTATTTGAATATTGGTATTCAAATACTTTTTATGGTATTGAATACTAATGTATTTGAAATACTTTTATACTTATGAATATATTATTTTATTAAAAATCAAAATGTCACATCTCGCAAATTGTCAACGAAAAAAATATACCTATATATTATAAAACTAGATAAATTAAATGATTTATTTCATAGATAAAAGTTTAAATGAAGTGATTATGAATTTTGAGAACTAAAATATTATGTTTACGACTGCGTGTCGCCGTACAATAGTACAATAGTACTTAGTTATCGCATAATATTATCTATAAGACTATACAAATATAAGTATTGTATTGCARCCTTTGGGTAGGTACCTATGTGGGCTATGAGTTATGACCTACCTAATAAGTAATAATATATTAAATTTGTCCGTCACCACGTAAAAACCACAGCGGATAATCCCACAACTCACAAATAAACCTATTACCTACGACTCGTTCTCGGCTTTATTGCACGTCGCACGAAACACAAGCAGTTAGCACATCAGCGTCTTTGTAGTTTGTACTGATATTCCGTATTGACCGTATTCGTTTATTAGTTTATTACCTACCTACTTTGTGCTATACGTTTAAAATGAACAATATTGTTGAAAATGTACCATTTCCATTTCCGATGTATAATGCACATTTTAAAGTTATATGTGTACTTGAAGACAAAATTTATTATAAAAAATTAAAAGTAAAATGTGTGAACTGTCCGGGAACAAAGGAACTTACAATTGACACACGCTCAAATTCAAACATTCGTAAACATTTATCAGTAAGTACAGGACAATACTCAATACTAGTTATACCTACCTATATTCTATCATTATTACTATTATTATTCATAATTGGTTTTTTTTAACTTATAGAACCAGCATCCAAACATTTTGGCAGATATTGATAAGTTGGACAAAAAAAGAAATGTCGATGAGGTCAAAGCAAAGAATAATAAACCGGATAATATGCTTTTGGATTTTATTTCGAACAAAAAAACTACTAGCCAAGGTATGCCTACTTAGTACGAAAATAGTACACACGAATATCACAGTAAATCG